TGCTTGGTTATTTTCTGGCAACGAATTGACAGCTATTGATAACTGCGCATACAATGAAGGTGAAGTTGGTGTCGACCTCAACCTTGGAATCGAATCAGTCCCCGCATATCTCAATCAATTCGATCAGATCAGCGAACGAAGAAGAGAACTCTCTCATAAAAATAACCGCAGACCAGCACCGAGGAAGTACCGAAGAACAAAGCAAGTGTATTGCGACAAGACGACCTATAGACTGGCTATCTTGTGCTTTTTACTGACCATTATACTCGCTACTTTGCTCTTCGTGGGCCGTCCGTTTCGCAAAAATAGCACTAATGGTGTTGCAGAAAATTCGAATTTCGTTTTCACAGCCCCAACCCAATCACCGGTTAACATAGGAGCGATCACTTCATCATTCCCCATATCGGAGCCAATTGTTACCACGCAAGAGCCTATCGCTGACGCAACATACAAACCTATCGCTACCAGGCCTGTATCAAAACCGTCCACAAGACCTACTTCGCCTGTTTCTGTCCACTCTCGTACCGCGAGACCTACGTTGTCCCCTACCAAGRAAGAATTCGTAACACCGAGGGCTCCTCCTTTGACTGCTGCATCAGATAAAAAGGATGAAGAAATAACTACCGASTCTGCACAAGCTGCAGCAAGRCAACCCACCGAAGTTCCACCTCTATCAATGGGACCAATGGTGGGCCATACGACTCATGATAGCGTCACACTATGGGCCTACCACGCCTTCGAGGACTACACAATGGAAATCTTGCTGTATGATTCGGTCACGAATGGTTTGATCCGAACCATCGATTTGGTAGCCCCTCGCAAAGACCGCAACAACGTCATGATTGAAACCATAACGGGCCTYGCTCCATCAACGTCCTACAAGTTCGGAATGCACATCAATGGACATCGCGTAGGGAAGGGATCATTCGCCACAGCACCCTTGCCTCAACAAAGTGCAAAATTTGATTACATCTTGGCCTCGTGTATGAACTATCGCCAATACAAGAACCAAATCGTTTGGAAAGAAATAGTCGACAACAACGCAGGAAAGTTCCCTGATTTCTCGATATTGGCCGGTGACACAGTCTATTTGCAAGAGGGTGTCGACGTCACCGTAAGAGATGGCGTCATCTTCGAACGTTTGTGGTTCAGGAATAAAGAGCAGCGCAACGAAAAACACTTTTCGGAGTTCATCGGTAACACTCCCACCTATGCGACATGGAATGATCATGAATACGGATCCAATAACGCTAATCGCAATCAAAAAGGAAAGAATAACAGTCTGCGGGCATGGGAGGCTCTGTGGGCAAACCCTGGGTACGGCGAAGAAGGTTCCAATGATGGTGTTTATTTTTCTTATTACTGGGGCGACGTTCACTACTTGATCACGGACGACCATTGGTACCGTKATCCTGCTGCTGGAAATCGTCTTGGCCAAAAACAAACAATGTGGCTGCGAGAAGAGCTAAAGAACTCCAATGGAACCTTCAAGATTATTGTAATAGGAAGCGATATTATGGAACGTAACTGGACGTCCGACCTCAACAACATTGGAGACATCGTCCGCGAAAACAAGATCGATGGCGTTTTATTCCATGCCGGTGACATCCACCGAAATGAATTCAAACAAATGGAGACGGGTGGTTTTCCTTACCCCGTCACTCAAATTACCTCGAGCGGGATCGCCAAGGTATGGAGACGACCCTATGTTCATATCAAGATCGACACCACCGTTGATGATCCGTTCATCGATGCCCATTTTTATGGGGCCTCTTCGACAGCCGACAAAACGACCTGGACGAACGATTCCAACCTTCGGTGTACTTCCATAGTAGAAGAAGATCGCAGCAAGGAACACACGTGCACCGAGACAATTCGCCTGTCAGACCTTAGAGCAATGTAAAGTGCAACTACTACACGAACTCAGCTTTGCCCACCATCGATTATTATTGATTGTGGATTCAATTTCTTCATGAGATTTCACATAGACGTCACTGTCATCAAAACATTCATAATAATTTTTTCATTCTTTACATTGAGTGCAGTGTCGGTGGGAGTTTTTCCATAGTGATTTGTCGTACTTTTAGTTATTATTGTTGTGATAGATTGATGTGATGAGATGAACAGCAAGCCCTATTATACACTGTTCAAATTATCATGTCACCCAAATGCTACAATTACGATAGCGATGATTCGAATTTCTTATCGATGAAGTTTCCTTAAAATCCGATTTTCCGAACAATAGCATTTAGAATACAGGTTTCATCTAAGTAGCKCACCTCCGTCCTGCTTGGTTCGAAAGATGCTAGTTATTTGAAAATGCTGTGCATTCAACGCGGTGAAATATGACTTGGTCTGAAAAAAGGTTTAGAACCTTAGATTATGTTCAAAACGGCGGGTTGAAATGGAATGCATTGATATGAAATTTGTAGATTGGAATCTGTTGGTTAAGTCCATATCTTGAGGGTGATTGATTCAGGCGCTGTCCACATTTTTATGAATGTGCTAATAGTGGATCATCTCCATTTCATGTAGGGGTACAGCTAGAATGTTGCCCAATTGTCATTGAATCATCCAAATCGTACCATGACGATCGAAATCAACGAACKATATGRTAACTGATGACCGTAGAATCAAAATTTTGGCAGAAGAGAGTTTTTGGATGGCCTTCGAAGATTAGCGGCAACATCTAGACCACGCAAGGAACGAGAGGAAAATGGTTTGGAGGAAAAAATCTAGTTAGCACGAATACATTATGAGAGCAAWTAGGCGAARCAAATTTATTCATGATCCAATCTTCGCTTTTGTTTCTCTCGATGCGTTGTATATGTGTCCTCTGGATATATTTTACGTGCTTACATTGAAGCGTTGCTGGTGTTGGAAGTTCTTGCTTCCCTAACTGTGCTGTAACCTGAGGAGTCGGTCCTAGAATTAGGTTTTGAAAACTAGTTTGAGGCAAGGCTTGTTGTGTTGTAGGCCTAAAAGAAGGCGCTTCGTTTGGTCTTCTTGAAGGTACTAAAGTGGGAATAAATATCGGGTTCTCGGTAGTTGTCTCCATAGAAGGTTTGCCAGTTGTACGTAAAACTGAAGATTTCACGGTCGGGTTATTTGTAGACGGAATTATTGGCATGATAATAGGCATCTGTGTAGGAGGCTTCGTCATGATATTCGGAGTAGCTGTTGGACTGTGAGTGGGAATCTTGCTAGGGGGTTTTGAGGGAGATGCTGACGAGATTCCAGACTTTACCGTTGTTATACCTGTGGGAATTTCTGTTGAAGTTTCCAGTGACACTTTTGGCGAATTCTTGGGAGTAGCTGTTGATGCAGTCCTAGGAGATGCTGTTGGGGTTTTTGAATTATCTCCTTGCGTTTTTGTAGGGGTTGCTGTTGGGTTATTAGTGATAAAACTTTCCTTGGGCTCTTTCGATACGTTGGTGATAGCAACTGTATCAGTTTCTGGTTTTTGCTTTTGTTTGTTCGTGACAGATGCTATCGGTGTTCCAGTAGTTTCCTTAGTTTCGTTCGTTGGAGATACTGTTTTTGTTCCAGTCTCCAAGGTTACTTTTGGCATGGTTGTTGGAAATGCTGTTTTTGGTTCCACCCCTGAAGACTCTTTTGGTATATCTGTGGTAAAAGTCCCAGTCTCTGAAGTTTCTTTCGGAATCATCGTTGGATATTCTGTCTTGGATTCGATCCCCAAGGATTCTTTCGGAATCATCGTTGGATATTCTGTCTTGGATCCGACCCCTAAGGATCCTTTCGGTATCATCGTTGGATATTCTGTCTTGACTCTGGTCCCCGTTGTTTCTTTTGGCATGTATGTAGGGTATCCTGTCTTAGCTCT